CCCCGAGCCTCATTCTTTCAAACAGCTCAGGCGTTTTGATGGCCTTGTCAACTTTTACCGACGTTTTATACCCAAATGCGCCTCGCTGACGCAACCCCTCACGGACCTTCTCCGAGGGAAACTCAAGAAATTCGAATTTCCTGCCTCAGCACGCGCTGCTTTTAAGTCGCTGAAAGAGGCTATCGCCAACATAGCTTCTATAGCGCACTACGATCCGGCCGCCCTACTGTCCCTCAGTACTGACGCATCGGACATGGCAGTCGGCGCTGTTTTACAGCAACGAGTATCCGACACGTGGCAGCCTTTAGCGTTTTTCTCCAAACGCCTACAACCTACCGAATCTCGTTACAGCACGTTCGGTAGAGAACCACTAGCAGTGTATCTAGCGATACGTCACTTTCGACACGTCTTAGAATGCCGCTCCTTTGCCGTCTTCACCGACCACAAACCCCTGACTTACGTGCTCGGCTCGACTACCGACCGATACTCTCCTAGAGAGTCGCGCCACCTTGACTATATCGCTCAGTTTACGACCGATATACGGCATGTGTCAGGTGTGCACAACGCCGTCGCCGATGCACTTTCCCGCATTCAAGCTATTTCCGCTGACGCCGGCACTGCTATCGACTTGGCAGTCATGGCCACAGCACAACTCAACGATCCTGAGGTTGATCTACTACGCAGGTCTCCCTCATTGGACATACGACCCGTTCCGCTGACATCATCAGACGGAACAATACTCTGCGATTTATCTCTGGGCACGCCGCGCCCAGTCGTCCCACGCGGATTTCGGCAGAACGTTTTCGACGCTTCACACGGCTTGTCTCATCCAGGCGTTCGTGCATCGGTTAAACTCGTAACTGCACGATTCGTTTGGCGCAATGTTAATCGGGACGTCCGTACCTGGGCAGCTGCTTGCCTTCCGTGTCAACGCGCGAAGGTGCACAAGCACACGAGAAGCCCATTAGGCACTTTCCGACGTCAGACGAGCGTTTTCATCACGTGCACATCAATCTCGTAGGTCCTCTGCCGCCTTCCAAAGGCTCGGTATATCTACTGACCTGCATCGATCGCCTTACTAGATGGCCTGAGGCCGTCCCTATCACAAATTGCTCCTCGGAAACAGTAGCGAACGCTTTTATGGAGCGCTGTGTAGCTCAATATGACTGTCCTGCCATCGTGACCATCGATCGAGGGTCACATTTCTCGTCGACATTTGACATGTTGCTTAAGGATTTAGGCTGTCGCCACGTTCAGACGACAGCGTATCATCCGGCCGCTAACGGCATGGTGGAGCGTTTTCACCGCCAGTTGAAGGCAGCGCTACGTGCACACGCAGCTCTTTCATGGTCTGAAAAGCTTCCCCTCGTTCTTCTAGGCTTAAGAAACACGGTTAAAACCGATTTCGACGCCACACCAGCGCAGCCAGTCTACGGTTGCACGCTGCGCTTGCCCGGACAGCTGGTAGCACCAGCCCCATGTACTTCCACTTTTGACTACGGACGTTACGCTGACGGATTGGCTCACCAGATGCGTGAGCTACGTCCACCCCTACTGTCCCTCAGTACTGACGCATCGGACATGGCAGTCGGCGCTGTTTTACAGCAACACGTAGCCGAGAGGTGGCAGCCTTTAGCGTTTTTCTCCAACCGCCTACAACCTACCGAATCTCGTTACAGCACGTTCGGTAGAGAACCACTAGCAGTGTATCTAGCGATACGTCACTTTCGACACGTCTTAGAAGGCCGCTCCTTTGCCGTCTTCACCGACCACAAACCCCTGACTTACGTGCTCGGCTCGACTACCGACCGATACTCTCCTAGAGAGTCGCGCCACCTTGACTATATCGCTCAGTTTACGACCGATATACGGCATGTGTCAGGTGTGCACAACGCCGTCGCCGATGCACTTTCCCGCATTCAAGCTATTTCCGCTGACGCCGGCACTGCTATCGACTTGGCAGTCATGGCCACAGCACAACTCAACGATCCTGAGGTTGATCTACTACGCAGGTCTCCCTCATTGGACATACGACCCGTTCCGCTGACATCATCAGACGGAACAATACTCTGCGATTTATCTCTGGGCACGCCGCGCCCAGTCGTCCCACGCGGATTTCGGCAGAACGTTTTCGACGCTTCACACGGCTTGTCTCATCCAGGCGTTCGTGCATCGGTTAAACTCGTAACTGCACGATTCGTTGGGCGCAATGTTAATCGGGACGTCCGTACCTGGGCAGCTGCTTGCCTTCCGTGTCAACGCGCGAAGGTGCACAAGCACACGAGAAGCCCATTAGGCACTTTCCCGACGTCAGACGCACGTTTTCATCACGTGCACATCGACCTCGTAGGTCCTCTGCCGCCTTCCAAAGGCTCGGTATATCTACTGACCTGCATTGATCGATTTACTAGATGGCCTGAGGCCGTCCCCATCACAAATTGCTCCTCGGAAACAGTAGCGAACGCTTTTATGGAGCGCTGGGTAGCTCAATATGACTGTCCCGCCATCGTGACCATCGATCGAGGGTCACATTTCTCGTCGACATTTGACATGTTGCTTAAGGATTTAGGCTGTCGCCACGTTCAGACGACAGCGTATCATCCGGCCGCTAACGGCATGGTGGAGCGTTTTCACCGCCAGTTGAAGGCAGCGCTACGTGCACACGCAGCTCTTTCATGGTCTGAAAAGCTTCCCCTCGTTCTTCTAGGCTTAAGAAACACGGTTAAAACCGATTTCGACGCCACACCAGCGCAGCCAGTCTACGGTTGCACGCTGCGCTTGCCCGGACAGCTGGTAGCACCAGCCCCATGTACTTCCACTTTTGACTACGGACGTTACGCTGACGGATTGGCTCACCAGATGCGTGAGCTACGTCCACCCGCTCCTCGCTCGCAGAAGACACCAGTGTACGTGCCCGAGAAGCTGTCTACGTGTTCACACGTCGTTTTTCGCGCAGACGTTGTTCGACAGCCTCTTCAGTCGCCGTACATAGGACCCTTTAAGGTGCTGCATCGTGCGAGTAAGGCGTACACTACTGACCGCGGTGGTCGACACGAAGTCGTCACCATCGTCTAAAACCCGCCTTTATGGAAGAAACTACCTCGCCTACTTCGTCTAGTAGTGCTTCGTGCGACGTCACAACTCACCTCACCAGTTTACAGCATTCTAGTGCAGTTCAACCAGACCACGATCGCGGTCTACAAGCCATCCCAACATCTCCCGAATCTAGCCCGCCACCTCCCAGGACCAATCGCCGTGGTCGGGAATTGCGTAAGCCCGTCCGCTTTTCCGACTATGTACAGTGTAAATACTTTTAACTTTGTAGACATTGTATATATTTGCCTCATTTTTGGTCGATTAACGTTTTGAAAATAAACAAAAATATCAAAAACCTCCGAAAAACCTTTTTCAAAAAATATTCAAAAACCAAACAATATTTAAACACACAGCTCATCCGTTTGTTCTCTTTTGCGTTTTCCGCGCGTGTTTTTCTATTTTCTCGTCTTTATATGCCCCAACCCTCCCCTTCGATCGGCTGGCCCACACGAGGAGTGTTCTCGAGGACCCTGCCACGAACGCTGGTCGTTTCTCCGCTGGACGAGTGTCGCTTCTCCGCGGGACGTGTGTCGCTTCTTCGCGGGACGAGGGTCGCGTCTCCGCGGGACGAGTGTCGATTCTA